CTCAGCCATTGTCGCCGGGACCACGCCCACCTACCGCCGTTCGCCTTTCGCCCACATCCTGGTGCTCTGTTATTACTGTTATTGTTACAGTTATTGTTATTATATTGCATTTTATTTTACTTTTATGGCCGAGCTGCGACAGACTGCGCCGCTGCCCGTTGATGACTACAAACTATGCAGTTGGGATGGCGTTTAGACTATAGAGAGGTCCTGGTCAGGATGGTCAGGATGGGCAGGATGGTCAGGATGGTCAGGACGGGAGAATAACTCTGCATTGTTACCGTTTCCGAGTCCGGAATGAACGCAAATTGTCATCACTCTGCAGGGCTTTCAGCGGGTGGAATGGGTTCTGTTTGCATCGATTCAATGGGGCGGTCCACATAGCACTTATAACGAGAAGGGTCTTTCTGCCGTGGGTATGCACAAAAATATTCGTGTTGCTACAGAGATGAGCTAAGACGACTGCTTTGTCCTTATATAATTATTGATTGGTTTTTGAGTACCAAGTTACCACCATTATTTTTTTGAGTGACATTTTGTTCACTTATAGTAATTGTTGGATACTGATTAAATAAAACTCGAAAAAGAGCAATACTAAGTAATAATATATAATAATAAAAAAAACTTTTAGATTAAATATTTTCTTACAAATCAGTACACGACATTATTTGCCTTTAAATGTTCTCTATCAAGTTCATAATTGAATGCTTTTATGACTTCTTAAAGCGGTTTCAATTTGATTTTGGTGTGACAACTTTCAAGCGTCAACGAGTTAGTTTATTTAGGTTAATTCAGAGTGATTTACTCTTAATTAATTAATCGTATTTACTTTACCTGCTCAAGACGCCTTCTCTAATTTGTGGTATTTATTCAACAAAACCAACATGTAAATGAACTATTATTATGATAATTTCCCCCTCATTTAGTCAAATTAATTCCAATGAAGTGGGCTCAGTATTCATGACTATGAGTTGAGCCAGTGGCATAACCGACTTAGCCCTGAATAATGCCAAAGAAAAGACGGAGCACCTGGGGTCACACACTCACATGCGGAACACTCACCTCAGTCGAGTGACTGCATTCATTATGGATTCACTTCACAGCAAATACTTTCTCCGCATTGTTCCATTGCTGGTGAAAGACTTTCCACGAGTGACCCCAAATGATTTCCCAGCGCATTGTAACGGCGACGGGAGACTTGGAGGAGTTTGGGGAGTTCGCTATTCGCCTCTCGCTAAGTAGCGACAAGTTCGCACAAAGGCGCACAGCGAGGACTTTGTGGGGCATTACGTATACGCCGGGTGGTGCGACGAGCGGCGGCAGCACTACGTATACGCAGCTGCTCCTTTCAATGCTCGCCACTTGACGCCGACTTGCCACTGCAACTGCGAATTCGACTCGGAGTCAGTCATTCGCTCGTCCCTTAAAGACGACTCTGGTGTTCCATTGTCTTTCGAGATGGCCATTTAGCTGTTTTCTCGGCGAAATCACTTCGTACTCTAATTCATAGCAGCGAACCTTGGTTTTGCTCTAAAATTATGACATGTTTTTACTCTTTTAAGCGCCATTAATGCCTTTTTATTATGTCTTATCTTTAGATATTTACACTGACTTCTAAGTTGTGCGATAGAACGAAGTTCTCTTTATAGAATTAATGTCCCAGTCTAAGTTTGTAGCAAGATAGCTTCACAATAATTTATTCAGAAAGTAATAAGTCTTAATAAGCTGTTTTAATATAATAATAATAGTCTTTCTTAATTTTTTTAAAGCGCTCATTACGAATATTATCCAATCCAAGTTTTATCCAATAAATAATCCTAATTAAATAATAATCATAGGTAATCCAATTCGTATCTTAATTTTCTATTCACATATATTTTTTTTAGCCATAATGGTATTGGTTGCTTTGGCTATTGTCTATAATCTACAGTGGGCCCACCACTGATGGACTTTCACCGATGGCTTCGTGGGCGTTTGGGGGCGTGGCCAGCGAGGACGTTAGGTGCTCAGAAAGTCAGACAGACAGCAGAGTCTTTCATATTTAAACTGACAGTTTATTGTGCTTTTCATTACAATTTTGTTTGTTGGTTTTATTTTGCAAACAAAACTCGGCAATGGCAGCTGCCTTCGGTGGCCAAAAGCAGGAGGTTTTCCGGGGGTTTTCCGGGGGGCCTTTCGGTGGGTTCAAGCGCACTCGAGCATGGAGTCAAGCTGCCGCTGCACCACCCCCGTCGACTTTATTTTTGCACCACAGCCATGGCCCCGTTGCGGCATTTTAGCCAAACGGAAGTCATAAAAGACGCGCATTTTCCTCTTCTTATTTTCGTTCCTCTGGTGACAAGGACAACACCAATAACAATATCACTTACACTAACACTAACACTAGCATTGACACTAAAAATAACAATAAGAATAAGAGTGAAAAGGAGAAGGAGAATGAGAATGAGAAGGACAAGAAGAACAACAATGCAGCGATAATTTCTCGTTAAGGAGCAAATGCCCAGAACAGCGTTGGATTTTAATGGCCAAGATAATTCCAATAATGTAGATAAATTCATTTGGCACGCGTCTAATTGAGTGGCATTGCATTTTGGCCATAACTAGGTATAATTCCATTTATCCGCTGACTTTTATGGCACATGGCCGAACCGACCATTGTCGGCGTCGCATCATTAATCAAAGGCCAAAAGCCTATGGAGACAGCCGGGGATATTGGGGATGGACTGGCACGAGATGGGATGTCCTGGGGATGGATGTGGATTCGGGAGATCGACAGTCCACCAAAGGCACCGACATGGCTTAATGCATCAATCAGCCGAGTGCAGGGTAGTAAACCACAAAAAAAATGTAACACGAAAAGTTGGTGAGTATTTTTGGCTTTATCACTTAACAGGGTTACTCAGATTTGGTGCTTACGATTCGGGTGAGTTCATTTAATGATAAAATCAATCTCTTTAACAATCTTTATAAAGATTATTTGCTTATAAAACTAAAGTCTAGTTAACAAAACCAGTCACATTTTTAAAACTACAACTTTTTAAAGCTTATGACCCCTATTGACTGCCCCTATTAACTTTATCCCCATGCTGTTGGCCACCATCAATTTGTAGAACAATGTCCGGAAAAGAAAACCAGCAAAAAACGGGCTTAAATGGAATGGTATGTAGTGAATGAATCGATGAATGAAAATGAAACTGTGGAGCCATGGGTTGTGCACGCACAAATGGAAAATGGATAATGATGCGTTTGTGTATTGGGAGCGCTTTTATTAGACAAACAAACACCAGGACCGACAGCCGACCAGCCCTCCAGCTCGCTTGGGAATCCCCGAATTTTCTAAGGGGAAATGGAGCACTCACACTCTCGAACTTGCTCTTTTTCAAGTTGAGTTGAAGTTTTCCCGCCTCGGCACAAAAGGAAAACTCTCGAAGGGGTTTTCCTTAGCGGGATTCAATTGCAAAAGGAGACCAGCTCCTTTAAACTGTCAGTTTTTGGCCGGCCTTTGTGCAGTTAGTTGATGCTTTAACAGCTTCCACACCCTTTTTTCCGACTCCATTTTCACCATCATCAGCGTCATCATCATCTTCAGGGTACAGACAAAATAATTTGACCAATTTGTGATGTTGTGTACCTAAATTTAAAATAAAAATGTTTCAACAAACCAAATATGTTGTTTATGAATAAGTTAAGAAATCTTTTATTGTTAAGTTTTGTATTTGTAGATAAAAGTAGAGGAAATACAAATCCAATACAAATTGTGCCTTTACCTAATGGAATGAACTTAGGAACTTTTCAAATCAAAGTCTCCAAAACAGCTATGATTAAAACGGCCAAAATAAGCAAAATTCAAATACAAGCAGAGGGTATCTTAAATTCCCAATTAATTGCTGATCAAATTTTATAAATATATAGCTTCTTAGGTTCTAAATAGCTGTATATTGCCAGTATCAGGTGTATAAATGTTGTATATTTATTTTCTGTGTAGACGTCTTTTGTTCGAAAGTTTACACGCAGCTGTCAAATCACAATACTTGCTAAGAATTTCCATTAACTCATTTTCCTCTCTCATTTTCCCAGCATGCGTGTGCTTGTGTGTGTGTGTTTGTGTGTGTGTGGGTGTGCCTGTATTGATTGTGTTAAGTGTTCGGTGCACTTGAGGCAATGGGTGCTTTAAGGGGGTTTTCCCACTGAAGCTTCGGCTTGTGGCCATTGCTCGAAACTTTCGCCATTGTTATAACAAAATAATGGCCCTCATACACTCACTAACTCACACACCCACACACTCTTGCCAGAACCTCGCACACATACACAAACAGTTTAAAAAGCCTCAAACTTGCTTGCACTTGTCGCTTAATTCAATATGCACAAGTCCTCTTCACACTCTTTTTTCCTACTTGCTTTCCTTGGCCGCCGCCGCCCTTTGTTTCCTTTTTATGGCACTTTCTTCGCTTTCTCGCCTGTCTTGGCCAACATTTATTCCTATTTTGCGGATGCACTAAAAGATTGAGCTTTCTTGGAGTAACATCCGGAAAGAACATTTTGAAACTTATTCCTATTATGCATTTTTTAACAACTGGCTTTAAACAATCACATTAACCTTGAGACAATGTTCTTTAAAGTTAATAAATTTATACAACTTTTTCTTATCCAAGAAGATATAGAGCAGAGAAAAGTGAAACTATTTATGTGGGTAAAAGTCACTAGGTTTTTAAAAGACACTATACAACAAATAAAACGTTCCTATTTTTCCTTTCAGGTTTAAGGCAAGAATTTATTATATTTCAAAATGTATTTTCTTTAGCATCCCTCAATAACTTTAAGTGGTTTTGTGAAGAGTTTTTACTTCACATTATTATATTTGATTTCAAATGATTTCCGAAATTGTTTTTCTGTCAGTGGCCTTTGGTTTCTTACTGTTGGTGAAAACTGATAGTGCATCTTGGCATCTTTGACTTGGTCAACAGCAGTGAAAAGGACCGTAGTTCGAGTGCAGTACTCACCTACACACATTGACTCGTGATTGTGGATCGTTTATTCAATTATCTTGGACTTTCTGGCTTGGACACTGAAAAGAATGGAAGAACAGGAATAAGTTAAACGGAAACATAAGCTCGACAAAGTATCCGCCCAACTCCAGCGAATAAGGACCCATCGAAGGTGAATCGTTTTCAATGGGGGCCCAAGCTTAGGTTTCTTATTTATACTTATAACTCTACAAGCAGATATACTCCTGTCGGTATTTGTTTAATTTTTGTATCGATTCGTTTTTAACCAAAAACAATACAAGCATTTAATTTATTTGTTATTAGGAGCATGTGAGACATTAATGCAGTGTAAAATATATATTTTAAACATAATTGTTAAATTTGGGTGTCGAGCAATTTCAAAGGTATAAAACTCTTAAAGTTTGTGGAGTAAATCACCATTCGCAATTTTATATGTGTCTTAAGTTGATTTGCAAGAGGTATGCTACTAAATTTCGCATGCTAAACAACTTTTGTTATTGGTTGCCAACATCAAAGTTATTTTCTTAAGCCTCTTAACCAGTCTATGTAAATGTTCTTTAATAATTTTCCCCAACCAACAAAGTGTTTGCAAATTGTTTATTAAATTTTTTTAATGTTTCAATTTGCCTAAGGAAAAGCCTGCCTTAAAGTTGAATTTGCTTTTACTTCAAAAAAGATTTTAAAATATTTATAACGCTCCCCTTTTCTTGCCTTTTTTTCTTTTAGGGGTTTCCTGTTTTTTTTTTCTTTTTTTTTGTAGCAGTTTTTGGTTCCGTGCACTCGCTCCTGCAGTTTGACTAACGAAATTTTGGACTGCGGCGAAATGCTTAAAAATTCGGAATTCAATCAATCCCAACGCTTTGTGTTATTTTTCTCCTTTTTGTTCTACTCTCTGTGTGCTCTGTTTTATTATTTTGTTGTTACCTCTGCAATTGTATCAGGGGCGGCGTTCTTTGTTGAGAAAAAATTCGGAAAAACAAAGCAAGAAGAGCGTAGAATTCAAGTCAAACAAAGCCGGCGGATGAGAGATGCTGGGTATCGGATGGCAGAGGTAAACACGTTAAGCCAAAAGCCAAGGGCCGCTTAACTCGTAGAAAAAAGAATTAAAATCAGGTGGAAAAGATGCGTCGCGCTGCTCGACAAGTGTATACGCTCTAATTGTATTTCCAAAGTGGTCGTTTAAGACTGGAAAGGCAATTTTTTTTATTAAATTGACAGGCTGATACATACTTAGTTATTTCAGTGATATAACTAAAAAAGCAATCCCTTATTTGTTTTTTAATCAAACAAAAACACTTCTTAACGAGCTCGAAAAGTCGTGTAGATCGCAAAAATATCTAATATCAAATTTTGTGACGAATACGAGACGAATGAATGCTAAATAAATACACCGCAGATTTTCCGAGCTAAAGGAAAAACTTGCGGGATAGATTTCAGTTGGTGAGGCACGTATAAGCGGCAGCCTGGAGGAGAAATTTAAGCTCATAGCAGCTGACTGCAACAAACTTTCGCTGCGAGTCACTCAGTTGGAGAGCGATACGTTCTATTTTTTTGAATGCGACCGCCACAATCCTATTATTATTATTAAAATGGAACCATGGAACACTTTTAATCGGAGCATTGGATCGCAGCAAATTTGGTATCGTCCATAGTGATTAAGAAAATAAATGATTAGAATTATAAAGATGGTATCTTTGGAATGCTCTGTTCCTGAGTTACTCAATGAGATTTAAAGTCCCTCATAAATTAACCAGTTTGGGAACGCAATAGCAGAGGCAAAAATGGATTATTTTATTACACACCAAGCAGATGTTGGTATGCCTGCCAAAAACAAAGATGAACAGAGAAACACATCCGCGAGGGCCACGTGCAACACGGCGTATGAGCGACATCAAAGGCAGAAATTGCATCAGAAAATATTGCCGCTGGCGAGGAGACGCACAATTTGTAAGCAATACGCCAGCCGGAGGACGACGAAAATCCCGGTGTATCAAACTCCAGAGCTCGTGCGGCAGGAGAAGGTGCACGACATAACCGGATGGTTGAGCAAGCCAAAGGCAACCTGCAAATCCGCCGGAGCGCTGGGCGAAAAAGGGAAAATGCGGTAATAATTCTTCTTACGCATTTGACGCTCGCAAGGCGCCCAAAAGCTGCCAGAAGAGGCTTGTACTTAGCGCACCGAACGAGAGAGAGGGAGTCCAAAAAACCTTAAAAAAAAAAATATATGCGGAAAACCTAAAAAACACAGGCAAAACAGGCAACAGCCAGGAAAAGTCCAGGGTAACCCGGGGAAAAACCAAAGCCAGCGACATGCAAAAATCAACAGGAACAACGCTGCAGAAACAATGCAAGCCAAAAGACAGCACAAAAAATGTGCTGAGAAAGTGAGGGGGGGGATGACGGAGGTGAAAGGGAAATTGGGGGCGGGGAAAATGGAAAAACTAGCGAGGGAAATGGAGAGAAAAGAGCAAGTGGAGAGGACAGGAGAGAGAACCAAGCGTAATGGGAAGCGGCCGCGCGTGCTAAGGATAACATGTTAATCCTTGTGAAGATAATGAGCAACAATATGCTTTGCATAAGCACCGTCCAAACGCTCCGGAAAAGTGGGCGTGGTCGGCGGGGCCGAGGGTCGGTTTGGCAAAACTCCCGTGGGAATGTGGCAAATTGCAGATAAGTTCATTGCAGCAGCCCGGGGCAGTATAATGCAACACAAGGTACTACCGGGGCGGACGAATGTGGAAACCAATAGCTGGACAATGAGCCCGCGCAGCAATTATGATGTGAGCAAAGGAGCAGAGTATTAACGGGATATTATCGCACATTGTAGGTCGATGCCATGATGGTTAAAGCCAAAAACATTCTTTCAAAAAAGTATAGGAGTTAAAAAACCAAAAGCTACTGGTTAACATTATTGGTCTAATAAAAATAAAAAAACTAGTAAATAAGCGATGGCTAAATATATGGTTCATAAAATGTATTGGCTTTGGTGAACCGTTTAACAAAATCGAACCCAATTGCGAATAGCATTGTACATTTTTGAATATCGATAAATAATTCATTTCACGGAATTCGTTGAATTCGTAATAAAATTTCCAATCGAATGGCGTTCACAGTTAAAATTTTTTCAGATTTTCAAATTTCTGCAAAAAATGATGATGTACCCCCTTATAAAAAAGTCATAAATTTTTTTTTTAAATCGTTTTTCTAAATTCTGTTTTTGTGTCAAAACAAAATTAATTGTTTTAAATCGATCGGGGATGGATTGTATAGGTTGCTAGCTGTTCAAAATAGCAATTCTTTTGACTTTGGGTCTTATTTTGGCAAAGTTACAACAAAAAGACTCTTCAGAAATAATTTTGTTTGAAAAATCGCCAAAAATCGCCAAAAATCACAAAAAACACATTAAAAACTTGGTTTTTGTGTCAAAACCCTGGGAAATAATGGTCAAAATGTGGAATGTCATACACCGTTGAATTCGTAACAAAATTTCCAATCGAATGGCGTTCACAGTTAAAATTTTTTCAGATTTTCAAATTTCTGCAAAAAATGATGATGTACCCCCTTATAAAAAATCCAGAAACTTGGACAAAAATAATTTTTTTAAAAAACGTCTTTCTAAATTCTGTTTTTGTGTCAAAACAAAATTTATTGTTGTAAATCGATCGGGGATGGATTGTATAGGTTGCTAGCTGTTCAAAATAGCAATTCTTTTGACTTTGGGTCTTATTTTGGCAAAGTTACAACAAAAGACTCTTCAGAAATAATTTTGTTTGAAAAATCGCCAAAAATCACAAAAACACATTAAAAACTTGGTTTTTGTGTCAAAACCCTGGGAAATAATGGTCAAAATGTGGAATGTCATACACCGTTGAATTCGTAACAAAATTTCCAATCGAATGGCGTTCACAGTTAAAATTTTTTCAGATTTTCAAATTTCTGCAAAAAATGATGATGTACCCCCTTACAAAAAATCCAGAAACTTGGACAAAAATAATTTTTTTAAAAAACGTCTTTCTAAATTCTGTTTTTGTGTCAAAACAAAATTTATTGTTGTAAATCGATCGGGGATGGATTGTATAGGTTGCTAGCTGTTCAAAATAGCAATTCTTTTGACTTTGGGTCTTATTTTGGCAAAGTTACAACAAAAAGACTCTTCAGAAATAATTTTGTTTGAAAAATCGCCAAAAATCACAAAAAACACATTAAAAACTTGGTTTTTGTGTCAAAACCCTGGGAAATAATGGTCAAAATGTGGAATGTCATACACCGTTGAGTTCGTAACAAAATTTCCAATCGAATGGCGTTCACAGTTAAAATTTTTTCAGATTTTCAAATTTCTGCAAAAAATGATGATGTACCCCCTTACAAAAAATCCAGAAACTTGGACAAAAATAATTTTTTTAAAAAACGTCTTTCTAAATTCTGTTTTTGTGTCAAAACAAAATTTATTGTTGTAAATCGATCGGGGATGGATTGTATAGGTTGCTAGCTGTTCAAAATAGCAATTCTTTTGACTTTGGGTCTTATTTTGGCAAAGTTACAACAAAAAGACTCTTCAGAAATAATTTTGTTTGAAAAATCGCCAAAAATCACAAAAAACACATTAAAAACTTGGTTTTTGTGTCAAAACCCTGGGAAATAATGGTCAAAATGTGGAATGTCATACACCGTTGAATTCGTAACAAAATTTCCAATCGAATGGCATTCACAGTTAAAATTTTTTCAGATTTTCAAATTTCTGCAAAAAATGATGATGTACCCCCTTACAAAAAATCCAGAAACTTGGACAAAAATAATTTTTTTAAAAAACGTCTTTCTAAATTCTGTTTTTGTGTCAAAACAAAATTTATTGTTGTAAATCGATCGGGGATGGATTGTATAGGTTGCTAGCTGTTCAAAATAGCAATTCTTTTGACTTTGGGTCTTATTTTGGCAAAGTTACAACAAAAAGACTCTTCAGAAATAATTTTGTTTGAAAAATCGCCAAAAATCGCCAAAAATCACAAAAAACACATTAAAAACTTGGTTTTTGTGTCAAAACCCTGGGAAATAATGGTCAAAATGTGGAATGTCATACACC